CCGCTCCTCAGTTACTTTCCAACGACCTTGTGGCAAGTCAGAGATGATATGAGCTGACACAAAGTAGACATGATTCAACACTTCAGACAAAGCATCTTCAGTATGACCCAGAATCTCCTGGAATCAGAACAAAGATACTTCTTTCAGTTTATGGAAATTTGGGCTGAGGAACAACTTTTCTATATCTCCCTAACATTTATAAAAGTTCTGGGAACACATTATGACATCTACTTTCCTTCAATTGCTATATGCTGTGAGTTCAACATTCCAATGTGTTTTATAAAGAAAATATTCAATTACCTATTCTCTTCTACCTTTAGAAATCCATGTTAAAATGACAACTATTTTGAAGAATTTCTATGCAAACACATCCAATGAAATCATACACATGTTCCTGATCAAGGTAAGAATAGCCATACATAATCACAATAGCCACTTTGGGCTCTCACTGACTTCCTATGGACAGATGGGACTGGATTCACAAATTAATCTAAACATGAATACGTCAATTACATTAAATTATGCAGAACAATATGTTTACAAAATGTAATGGAAATGTACAAAATCACAATCAATTAAGATATTTTTTCCTTACTTTGAAGGTTCTAATTTGGGAAATGTTTCAGGTTCTAATTTGGGAAATGGTTTTTTTTCAAATTTGATGTTACATATTTAGATGGTATTTGGCGAACAGGTAAAATGGATGGACACACAAGTACAAAGACACTAACATCTGGTTCAAACTTTACCTCTCCAGGATTGTTGCAGCAAACAGTGGAACATCCTGTACCATGGGTTTTGGTTGGCTGCTCCCGCAAGACATTGGGCAGAATTTCATCCATATGAAGCAGAAACAACTGTAGCAAGAAACAACAGCAAATCAATCTGTATTCAATTTAGAATTATGTCTTGTGAGATATAACACTATAATTTTAGAAAGCAACAAATTTAAGAGGAATGTTCTGCCAAAAATTAATGCAATTCTCCATATACATGCTAATACAATCCAAAATTCACAATTATTCCCAATCACAATACAAGTCTCACACCTGTTAAACCAGTCTGGACACAATGGTGATGAGAAAAATCCTCGTCAGTGACCAGCCCATATCTCATTAAGTAGTACAAGGATAACAAAGGTGAGCAAAGAAATGGTTACTTCTCTTTATTAGCCACAGTAACACTTTAGAAAATTGTCAGAAACACATTCTAAACTGAACACATTATGGACCTTATAATAGAAAATTGTCAGAAACACATTCAAAACTGAACACATTATGGACCTTATAATACAGTTCATATGCTCAGAGTCAAATTCTGGTATTTTGTTCTGGATAAACAAAGTCAGGATACAAAATTTGGTAAAACCTAATGAACCAAACAGGTTGTGTAAAAACTCAAGTGTAGTTTTAAATTCTTTAAATACAGTTTTTGTATACATTTTTCAAGTGCCTTAGTTAAAAGCAAATAACAATGGAGGTTCTCCACCTCCTATAAACTGCCACTGCAACACAAAACACAAGGTTTATTATGAAGTTCAGGAAAATGACAAAAACATCACCTTATAGAAGGGCACTTGAGCTCCATCAGCTGTTCCTTCCATCTCCTTCAAATACTGTGGGAAGTTCTGGCGGACAGATGATAGAGTCTCATGGTACACCTTCTGCCCAGCCTCTGTCTCAAACAGTGGCAGAAACACCTCGTTCAGTGGTTGTGAAGCAGCCAATAAACTATGAATGAAGCCTCTGAAAGTGCATCCCTAGTGAAATAACACACCAATATTAGCATCAGACATTAGTGCAGCTGTCCTGCTACATGCTATGGAGGCACATGGGGAAGGAGGTACAGCTCCTACCCATTCATGATTTCTGGCACCGGATGGGGGTCAGTGGTCGGCATCAAACCCCAGCCATGCTTTTATCCCGTGACTGAAACCCTGGTGCCCACTGTTTAGGAGACTGGCAATGAACTTTCAAATTTCAAAAAAGGTATGTAATATTCTGACTAGCTCAGCAAGTACAGTCTTCTAAGTAAGGATTCTGTAATATGGAGTTAGTAGGTTAAATTATTTTATTTATGCATTCACTTTCACCATTTCAGTATTTTAAACTTAAACATAACTTTTTAAATTAAAACATATTTCCATTAAAGATGTATGTATTAAACAATATTGCTATAATTCTGTATCTCCTGTGGAGGCCACAGATGCATATGAGCTGCATGGCTGATGTTAAAGTTTTGTATTTATTCAAGACTTTTTTCAAACCCTTCTCCACAACACCAAAACAAAATCCTAAACTTCTGCCTCTTAACTGTACTCCTTATTACCCCCAAAATTTAACATAAGTCAACACTGTGACTTACCACGTCAAATCCAACTTCATAGTGAGTCCCACGTGTGTATAAAATGGGGATGCTGTTGCGGCGACCAATCTTCTCCACTACTGGCATTCTGTAACAGTGCCTGAAAGCAAGTACACAGATTGTATACTGAACAGCAAGTATCCAGAGTGAGTGACCTTGGTTATGAAACCAACACCTGATACTACTATGGCTTTATAGACACACTTTATCTTATTAGCTGGTCTCACAGTCAGCTGCTGATATAATAAAGGGATTCTCAACTTACTTCCTGCCCCCACCAACTCCACACTGGCACTGAGTTCCCCCCCACCAACTCCACACTGGCACTGAGACAATAAACAGCTTTGTACTGTTTACTGGTGCTAGATCCACACTTATTCAAATAGGACAGAGGAACATACTGACAGTCTGCCTAATTATGAGAATATGTAATCACTTTTAGATGTTATCATTATTTAATATTTGAAAGAATCTCAATCTTGAAGACTAGCAATATCAAATTCTGTTTTCAGACTTATTTGTGGTTAACATGATTTACACTGCTCTGGTAATATGGCATCACTACAGTTCCATTTTGTCTAAATCATGTCATGATAGAATTAATATCCCATTTGATGTAACTTGTTCTTAACAGGATAATGTCTCTTGAGGACATCCACATTTGTGTTCTTTGTTTCACTCTGTATCAAAAGTACTGCAGTATTGGGTTTCCATCATGAAGCTAATTTATTTTAATAGCGGAGTAAAATGTTTTACAACACACTTCTTACAGAAACTGTAATGACATAATCAAAAAGGTTGAAACTAGGTCTATGCAAACTATAAAATATGTTAAATACACGTAACATTTGGCAATTAAATAACAGAAATGATTCAATAAAATATAAATATATAGTGACACTAACCTTTAGTAAGTATGGCCACATTCAAAGCACTTGCCTTCTGACTTCATACAGGACTGGAAACATTGATGGAAGTAACTTCCTTAAAGTGATATGAATATTGTCAACACATTCTTATAAATGTCTTCAACTGCTTCAAAATGAGGCCATTTCAATGAGATTTTCATTTTCA